CTTGACCAATCATATTTTGACATCCACTTCATGTTACTAATGGTAGTTCACAATTTTCACAACTAGCTATCCTGTCACTCCCTTTTTTTGTTGTTTTAGAAGCATACTACATAAAATACTTGAGGACAGTTTGGAAGGTTAAACAAACAGTTCAATAAAGGAAATTCAGCACAGTGTTAGCATCAAACTTTTAGAAACTATCCAATGTATCCAATGACTTTGAAATTGAAGAAGTGCGGGAAATACACACCATACTAGGTAACACCAGCCTTACTGCCACTACTGCCATGACAGGAAGTAAAGCCAAAGCTGAGGCAGACAAAAGTAACGGGAAGGCTAAGATAGTGTATTCCCTAAATAGTTGCAATATGCTCTGCTGCCAATCCACCCAAAATATTTCACATCCAGTGGGATCAGAAGAAGACGTTCAAGTTATAAAATCTCATTTCCCCAACTTCCTTCTAAACAGCTATTAAAACTGTATCTGTCCTGGAGATGGCATAATTGGTTTTAGTGGGAGAAATCAATCAGGCCAGCTCCAGGATTGGTTTCATTAGGAAAAGAGAAAAGGAACAACAACAACACTTTATCAAAGAAGAAATCCCCCATTTTCCTGCCTCCTTTGCACTAGTAGGGCTCTGGACACCATGACAGCTCACCCACTCATGGTATTGTTCTGTTAAAATGCCTATGAACAGAAATGTTAAATTGCTCATGAAAGTGGCTGTTTCTATTCAGAAACAGGTTTCTGAGAATATAAAAATGGAACCTGAGGTCAAAGACAACCTTTTATATATAATAAGGAAAAAGGTTCAAAGCTTTCTAAGCAGTTGCTTTTGAAAAACATTTTAAATCTTAAAAGAAAGGAGCAAAAGATTTGAGAGGATTTTATAGATTCCTATTCCCCTCAAGATCAACTTTGATTTATCTCAGCTTTCTACTTAAAGGAGTTAAAAATACAAAGCTTCTTGCACAAGACTGATTCTCTTTCAACTATTTCTTAACTATATTTATCTTTATTTCTAAAAGAGCAGTTTGAAAAAATTAACACTTTTGATTTCTAATCTGATTGACTAATACTGCAAAACATTGTTGACCTAAAACCTAATCTAAACATTCAAATGTGAACTATGAATGCCAGTAGAAAGAGAGAATAGTAACTCATTGTGATACAATGCATTCAGGAACAAGTCATTTAAGCCACAGATTCTCTCTCGTTATCTGTAGGTATCAGTTGTTGCTATAATCTTACCAAGGGTTTGGAAAAAGGAAAGAGAATTTATGGTCCATAATTTTCTTAAAGATAGTTTGTTTGTCCACGTGGAAAATTACTAAGCTTACAATTCAGAAGTAACTTTATTAGTACAATGACAATTCAAACACACAAAATTGTGCAAGCATTTATGTTCTCTAGAAATCTTAATCAGGCTAGGTGATTTAAAGGGGGGATTAGTAAAATTGACAAGGTATACAGCTGAACTCAGTCCCAAAGTGGTGGTTATAGGTTGAGTAAATATATGCCAAATGTGTAAATATGAACTTATGCCTGGCACTGCATACTAAAAGATGGTTGTTCTCCATTCCTGTAGACTCAGAGTTGGTTTTAATTCACTTGTCCCTCCCAGAAAAGATTTATAGTCCTGGGTGCCCCACTTTTCTGAACCGCTCACACAGTTGCTACCTGCTGCCTGGAGCTGACTGACATGGACTCAATATATTTGGTCATTAAAAACAGAAATGGTTGTGCCAGCACCTGAAATAGTCTCCTCAACATGAAATATAGATTATTATATGATCAAAGGAGGAGGAATTGGAAACATAAGGAAGTTGTTAATTCGAAGGATGTTAAAGCAATTGCCAAAAAAGAGAAAGATTGCAAGTGCCTGAAAGAGTATTCTGTGATTGACCTGGGGTGGGATAGGGCCACTTTTCATAATGCGGGATTAAATTCTTGCATAGTAGAAGGTTCAGGTATTTTTACATACTGAAATCTTTTAGATGGTAGTGAATTACCTGTAGACTGGCAAACAGTTGTATATATTGTTTTCATTGCTACACATGGACTAGATTTGTGAGATCATCATTTTGTTATTTTTTAAGCAAAACCCTATCACTGTTTGGTTATGCAGTGGATTAAGAGCAACAGCTGTTGGAGTAGCAAAGGATTAGAACAATTTTACAATTTTATCAGCATTAGGCCTTCTGTTGTCAGGCAACTTGGGAGATTTAAGGATTATGTGGAGACGGTGCAACATTTTGATATTTTGGCATCTTTTTAAAGCCATTATTTTGACAAAGTTTTTAAACAATCATATTGATTTTACTGGGGAAAATGATGTTATGCAATTGAATTGCATGAGATATAATTAATCATGTTTTTTACAAGGGCTACAGAATGGAGCATGATTATCAATCTATTATAAGATGTGCTAGGTACAATTACTTCATTCCTTGTACTTTGCTGAATGCACCTATAGCAAGTTGAATTGTATTTGGTTATTTCTAGATAGATACTGAATAGAGGATATTGAAGTGGCAAAATAAAAAGTCTTATCTGTTGAAAATATTTTACAATATAATCAAACAGCTTGTTCATTATTTGTTTTAGTAGCTATTCTTCAAGAATAATATGTGTCCTATAACACGAATTATCAAATAAACAGTTTTAATGCATAGACATGGTTCATGTATTGAATGCACATTAATAGTAATAATGCCCAGAGCCACATAACATCAGTTGAACCAGGTCATAAAGACTGGATCCTTTTCCTTCTACAGAATTTTGACATTAAAATGGCCTTTTTAATGTATGCTTTATTTCTCTTGACGGTAAGCTAGATTCTATTATGGTATCATTGTTATTATAACTTTTCTGCCTCAAGTTTTTGACTTTTGTTAGAGCACAGGCAAGTAATGAAGCACATGAATACCAAACAAAACCAACACTACAGTCTTTGCAAAATCACCTCAAGGTTGCTGTTGTTACTTATGGTGAAACTATTATGGGGTTTTCTGGGCACAATTTCTTCAGAATAAGTTTTACCATGATCTTTATCTGAGGCTGTGAGAGTGTGACTTGCCTAAGGTCACCCAGTGCATTTTCATGGCAAAGTGAGGATTCGAATCCTGTCCTATAGAGCTATATTCCAACATTCAGACCATGACATATTGTTGACTGTCTTGGTACAGAACTTGTTTAAGAGGTTAATAAATAGCCACTGTCTCTTGGCATCTAAAAGTAGAAGAAGATATCAAAATATAATATAATCATGCCTCGAAGATTATGAGATGTTAAAAGAATGCTATATCTGTGTCTAATAATGAGGAAACTGGAACACTCATGAACAAAGATATGCACTCAACATAGAATATATGATGAAATTGCCTGGCTGAAAATTATGAAAAATAAACTTTATGCAGATGAATTACAAAATCCTATTCTTGGACAGTGATATTTATGCCTCACTAATATATCTTACATTTTATATTTTATTGATGATGATGATTAGACTCACATCTCTAATTTAGGACTGTCTCCGCTAGATATTTACATGCCTAACAGAAAAAGTAAAAAATTCAGAAAACAATGTGTTTGTTTTGTTAATTTTTTCTTATTTTTGTGACAGAAAAAAAAATCAAACCAGGACTATGGAACATGTTGTTATAGAATGAAAACCATGTTTAACATAAAGTGTTCATGTGTGAAGTTTAAAACTGCAAATTAAAACATACTGGTTTTTAACATGAGAAAGCATCTCTCTAAAAATCTGTAAGTCCTCCAGCATGAATCTGTGATCATCTTACCTATCTGACGAGGCTCTGGCAACTGTCATTCATGCCACAGTCACGTCTAGGCTGGACTATTGCAACGCCCTGTATGTGGGCCTTCCGATGTCTACGACCCGAAACCTTCGTATTGTTCGGAATGCGGCAGCCAGGTTACTCACAAGAACGCCCATGAAATGCCATATAACACCAGTGCTGCAACATTTACATTGGCTTCCAACTGAGTACCATGGCCTGTATAAGATGCTTGTTCTGACCTTTAAAACTCTTTACGGCCAGGGTCCATCGTACCTTAGGGACTGCCTCTCCTTCTCCCATCATCGGAGGTCGCAACGACCAGCCCAACATGACTTACTCCATATACTGGGTCCGGCACTTGGAAAGGACCAAACGCAGAGCTTTTTCTATTTCTGCCCCTGCCTTGTGGAATTCCTTGCCGCCCTACATGAGAGCCATGTGTGACTTAGGGCCTTTTACTCTCGCACTTAAGACCTGGCTTTTTACTAGAGCATTCGATCTCTGTTGATTTTTAATTTTTGTATGTATGTATTTTATCTTTTGTAATTTAGCTGTAAATCGCCTGGAGCATTCTTGGATGGAGGGCGATTAATAAGTTATTAAATGATGATGATGATGATGATCCTCTGCAGGAAGTTCACACAGAGTTGCAGTGAAAGACTTAGAGATACTTAGAGATGTGTTCTATCATGGAAGCTCTACTCTTTGGCTTGGCCATCCTCCATAGAGTCATACTGTAGGAACTAGAGATTCCTAGAGAGAACATCTTAATCCAATCCAGGAACATTCAAACCCACAAAAGTGAAATCTAAAAGAATAGAGAGCCAACTGTATGCTGATTTTTTTTAAAATCGAGCCCCGCCCCCTAAAAATGTTTTCTCACCTATGGCTTCAACATTTTCATAAATGGGCAGTGTTACAAAGAACTGTAAAATCTAGGAGATGAATCAGGACACCTTCACTGGCAGGAAGACTGCCATGCACATGCCAGAGCTTTTATGCCCTCAAGCATGAAAAGATCCCTCCTATGGTTAAAATAAATCCCCGGTATTGTGCTAAAATCAAGAGTAAAATAAAATATACATTCCTTCCCATATGAATACTGACGACAATCGAATATAAAAAATAACAGTATGACTCAAGCTTCCTTTCTTTTTGTTTCTTTCTTTTCTTTTCTTTTTTTAAACAAATTATAGGCAGAACCAGCAAATTAATCTTTTGTATCAGAAAATAAGGGAAAATGAACTACGGGCCCAGCAAGCAAGACTGGGGCATATTGTGAATTGTGAAGACTCTTACATGAGTACTTTCCAGGTGAGATGCAATTTTTTTATTTGTAGGTATTGTGCCTGGTGAAATGAAAATTCTCAACATATGATACCCTGAAAGAGAGCCTTTTTACTTTGTATCACATAACAATAATATGGTTTATATGACCATTTTATTGATGAAGCAAATTATGCTGGAATATATATTTAATGGAGAAATTCTGTTGTTTGAAATCAGTTTGTATGCATGCATATCTGTTCTAATGTCAAAACTGGTAACTTGCTTTAAAAGTATTAAGTTTAAACATCTTGTACACAAAAGTGACTGTTCTGTTATGCATATCGAAGAGATTATTACTATTGTATCATGAAGGATCAGTGTAGCTGTATTTCTTTAGAAAGTAGACTATGTCATACCTTGAATAGGTTAAACTACAATATTATCAAAATCATTGTTCTTCTACATTGTAATTACAGTAAATATACAGTATACTACATACCTTGTTTTCCCAAAAATAAGACAGTGTCTTATATTAATTTTTTCTCCCAAAGATGTGCTAGGTCTTATTTTCAGGGGATATCTTATTTTTCCATGAAGAAGAATTCACATTTATTGTTGAACAAAAAAATGAACATTTATTATATATGTACAGTAGTTGTCTGGTTACACTGGTTGCCTGACTCACACACAGGGCCACAAAAAATAAGAGCTGTAAAATAACTGGCTCCCACACACTGTCTGGGGACTGTAACGATCTCCCACAGCAGTTCCTGGACCACTTGTACAGCAGGGATGGTATTGCAGCTTCCAGCCACCAGGGGGAGCAAACAAAAACTTTGCCGGGTCTTACTTTTGTGGGAGGCCTTATATTTAGCAATTCAGCAAAACCTCTACTAGGTCTTACTTTCAGGGGATGTCTTATTTTCGGGGAAACAGGGTCATAGTCTGTTTTGTATCACAATCACACAAACATGATGATTTCCCCCCTTGATTGTAACACTTTATATTGGAGATTACATACCTAAACTTTTCAGCTTTACAGGACTTAAACTTGTTTAATCAGATTAGAATATATTGCACCAAGTTCTGATCTTTCTATTTAAAAAAACTTAGCTAGAAACTCTGGATCAAAATAAGAATGTTTGCTTACCTTCCCCCTTGAACACTGGTTTTCTAGGAGTCACCTCCGCCAAGAGTGGGTAATTTATGGTTTTCCAGAAGTTGGATTAAAACACCAGGTAGCTCTAGACAGCATGGGTCATGAGCAGAGATTATAGGACTTATGGTCCAGCAAAATTTGACAAATAGGATGTTTCACACTCTTGCCAGTTGGTAAAGAATTAGTCTATCTATCTAAACAACAGTCATTTGTTTTAAGGTTTATTGAACATAAACAGTTAATAATTATGGCAATATCAGCAGACGATTAAAATGAAGAAAAGATTCAGTGGACCCTTGGTAACCACTGGGGTTTGAATCCAAGATCATAACAGAGTCAAATAATGTTACCAAAGTGAGTAAAAAGAAGTTTGCTTTGTTGAAACAAATCAGGCAATTTAGAGCAACAAGGGACGCCCTCACTCCACAACACAAAGTAACAAGTATATGGGCAACATCACTGCCAAAGGGTACCTCTGCAACCAAGATCGAAATAGCTGCTGACAGAGCAGAATACTGTTGTGGCCTGATAATGGATTAAATTCTTTAACAGCCATCTATTTCAAGGAGATTCTAAATCTGATAACAAATTATTTGAGCAAACACAAGATATTTCCAGGGAATGGAATTAGAACCAAGAAGTATTCAATAATTTAGAGAACAGGTACAACATTTTTATGATAGACCTTTTCAAGTTTAGGTAGAATGTGAATTTACAGATTTTTTTCAGTAGAAGTGTGGTTTCAGATTTGCTTCTGCTTATACTATATTTGTTCTCTTACCCAGGTAAGAAGGAGGAATTTTATTCCACAAATGTGGAGCTACTAGCAGTGTCTTTCAGTGTCTTCCAGGACTCACTTTGTCACGCTCATCCTTCTATTCTTCTCTCTTTTTTCCATGTAGCCTCAGTATGAGAACACAGCAATGCAGCCTTCATTTTCAGAGAGATCTCCAACCCACTGTGAAAGGGAAGAGCTGGAACGAAAGCTTGCAGTAGTACAAAATAAGGAGCTACAACTCAGTGAATTTCTGAAACAAATGGCAAACAAGGCTAATGAGGAAAAGAAGAAGATGGAAGAGAAGGTGGGTCTCAAGTTGATGTTACCTGCGACCAAAATAATCACTTTATCAAACCATCAGCTATTTTTAACACTGATGCTCATTTATAGCAGCTTTTTAAATGCTACTCATGACTCACTAAGATAATCCTCTTTTTATATGATTTAATTCATCTGGAGGAAAATCTGTTTTTTCATTGATGTTCTACTAGAGTGGATTGCATCTAGATTAAATTATTTGGATGACAGTATCTTTGAAATCAGATGCACTAGTCACGAACTTTCATAATCTGGATTCAGTCCATTTTTTTGGAAGATGGGAGAAAAAGAAAATAATTTGTCTTACTATCTTCATATTTTTGCTGTCTGTGATTAGATTATCATCCATTATGTTGTTTTAGTTCACAACCACAGGTGCAAGAAATACAATTAAAGAGGCATCAGATTAGCGCTAATGTACTACACTTTAATTTGTATGTTGTAGCTTCTTGTACTGTAACAATAATATTGTACTATTAAGATCCAAACAACAGTTTCAGGAACTGCAGTGATCTATATTTTGATGTAAAAGTAAATATCAGCATCCTGTATTCAGAACAGAACATTGTGATAATGTTAGTTAATTGTGTTTGATGTTCTGGTTTTTAGTTATGCAAGACATAATTGGCCTACCCAGTCCCTAATTTTTGTTCTTTTCTTATTTTCCTTAACTTTCCCCATCATTATGCCACTTTAAAAAGTACTTTGGAGCTATCACCACTGTTATTTCTCAGTTGATGGATAGTATAAATGATATAAGCCACAAAATATATTGTGTATCTCAAAGTTTGAATTTTAAAAATTCTGCATTTATTCATGACGAAATGAACTATTCATCCAGAAAATCATAATGTACTTAAATTAAACAGTATTCTAGATAGCCTTGTATTATACTTCAAAGTATAGATTTTAAATTCAATTGCTTAAAAACATCCTTGTCACAATTGCTTAAAAATATCCTTGTCAACATAATTTGTCACAGCACATGTATCTGTGTTGATGTTGATGATTAGCACCATGAGGACATGTTTTCTAAAGTTAGACAATACTTATTTACTTAGGCAATCTCTCGTTGTTCGAGTAGGATAGTTCTCAGTGTCTATGCCAGAGTTTTTAAGGTTGGCTTTGAGCCCATCTTTAAATCTCTTTTCCTGTCCACCAACATTCCGGTTTCCATTCTTGAGTTCAGAGTAGAGCAACTGCTTTGGGAGACGGTGGTCAGGCATCCGGACAACGTGGCTGGTCCAGCAGAGTTGATGGCGGAGGACCCTCGCGGAGGACCATCTTTGCTTCTTCCAGCACACTGACATTTGTCCACTTGTCTTCCCAAGAGATTTGAAGGATTTTCCGGAGGCAGTACTGATGGAATCGTTCTAGGAGTTGCATGTGATGTCTGTAGACAGTCCACATTTCGCAGGCATACAGCAGGGTTGGGAGGACAATAGCTTTATAAACAAGCACCTTGGTATCCCTACGGATGTCCCAATCGTCAAACACTCTCTGCTTCATTCGGAAAAATGCTGCACTTGCAGAGCTCAGGTGGTGTTGTATTTCAGTGTCGATGTTGACTTTGGTGGAGAGGTGGCTGCCAAGGTAGCAGAAATGGTCAACATTTTCTAATGTTACACCATTAAGCTGTGTCTCTGGCATTGGAGAGGGGTTGGCTGGTGACTGCTGGAAGAGGACTTTGATTTTCTCGATGTTGAATGACAGGCTGAGCTTCTCGTAGGCTTCTGCAAAGGTGTTTAGAGTGGCTTGTAGTTCTTCTGAATACGCACAGACGACGTTGTCATCAGCATATTGGAGTTCTATAACATGTTGTTGTAACCTTGGTTTTGGCTTTCAGTCTGCTGAGGTTAAATAGCTTGCCATCTGTCTGACAGATGATTTCCACTCTGGTGGGAAGTTTCCTGTGAACAAGATGAAGTATCATAACGATGAAGATGGAGAATAAAGTTGGGGCAATAACACATCCCTGTTTGATACCTGATCCCACCTTAAATGGGTCACTTAGCTAGCCATTGCTGTCCAAGACTGTTGCCATCATGGAGGAGCCACAGGATGTTCACAAATTTGTTAGGGCACCCAATTTTCTGGAGGATGGTCCAGAGAGCGGTGCAATTCACTGTGTTGAATGCCTTTGCAAGGTCAATGAATGCTATGTCAAGTGGTTGATTTTGTTCCTGTATTTTAGTTGGAGCTGTCGTTCAGTGAAGATCATGTCCACTATTCCTCTGGAGGGGTGGAAGCCGTTGTGGGATTCAGGGAGGGTGTCTTCTGAGACGGGTAGAAGGCGGTTTGCAAGGATTCTTGCAAGGATTTTCCCAGCGGAGGTTAGAAGGGAGATAACCTCGATATTTTCCGCAGTTTGTTCTTTCCCCTTTTTTGAAGAGGGTGATGATGATGGCATCCTTGAAATCTGCTGGGATTTTTTCGGTCACCCACACTTTTTCAGTGAGCTGGTGGAGTTTTTGTGTCAGCTCAGGTCCTCCCTCTTTAAAGATTTCAGCAGGGATCCCATCAGGTCCTCTGGCTTTGTTATTTTTTTATTGGGTGATGGCATTGCTGAATTCTTCCAAACTAGGCCAGCTCATCCCTGGTTTGTTGTTGTGGGATTTGTGAGAGAACCTCTTCGGCCACATTGGAGCTGCGATTCAGGAGGCTTTGGTAGTGTTCTTTCCAATGTAGTGCAATTAATTTTTTTTGTCTTTCAGAAGTTTGATTCCATCTGATGAGTGTAGAGGCTGTATGCCATGATTTCTTGGTCCATAGATGATAATTTAAAGTTCTATGGCATGTCTATCAAGTAGCTATTTGACATAAATTCATCTGATGAAGAGATCAGACTATTAAGAGCAAATGTTAGGCTTGGTTTGGTGTCCCATGCTATTTGGGCTGGCATGGATTTATAACTTTACTTGGTAGCAAACTTATACACAAGAAAAAGACTGTAGGTCAGGGCTGGGAAATTGTGTAAGGCGGGGGGGGGGGCATTAGCCTTAGGGGAGAAGAATTGTGCCCCTGCTGTACCTGCTCCCACTAATAAATATAGTTATGGCAAATAATTGCTGTGTTAAAGTAAAAAATGGTCTGGATAGACATGTGTTTAATGCCCGCAAAACTGTTCAACCATGGAAATAGTGAGCAAAAGCTCTTAGCTTATTGAGAAGATAAATACTCTATTGTGGTTTGTTTATCTTTTAATAAAAGCACTGTTTTGCTTTATGCTGAAAAGTGAGTGCTGAGTTATTTGGGGGAGGATCAATCTTGGCACAGATCTGTTTCGTGCCTCGTGTAATGAAGCACATAATTTTATTCCCTTTCTAGCTCAAAACCAGAGACAGGTACATAAGCAGCCTGAAAAAGAAATGCCAGAAAGAGTCAGAACAGAATAAAGAGAAACAAAGAAGAATTGAAACCCTTGAAAAGTACTTGGCTGACCTGCCAACGCTGGATGATGTTGAAAGTCAAAGTAAACAGGTAATTAGTGTTTCATGTTCAGAAAACAGAGAGCACACTTAGAACTTTTGCTCTGAACGTATTATATAAACTGAAGTGCAAACTATTGGCAGATAGAGTACTTTGATAAAATATAAAAATGATATAACAGTTTGGGAATGTTTCTCTATAAATCCCATTTGCATTTCTCCCCCCAAAATTTCTTACATCATATGCATTTCATTGGACCTTGTAGAGTTCCACTAAATTGTGCTCAAACATATAAATAAAATAAGCGCATTAGAGTTCTGTGGCAGATCCCTTTACCCCGATTGGTTTGTATATACCAACTCTTAGGATTCCTGCTACTCACCTTCCTGTTCTTCCCTCAATTATTCCCTTTCTGGATTGGGTTACTAGGCACTTTAAATGTAGATTTGGGATTTTTGTTGTGTGGTGTCTGAAGTTTTGGCATATGTGTCCTGACTCCTGGATTGGGTTGAAATAAAAGCAAGAGTAAGTATATGAAATGAAGTAGAAAATATCATAACCTCTAATAAACCAACCTTTAAGTTCCCCAAAACCATAAATAGTTCATCTTTCTTTCTCAAACCCAAACCCCTTTCTGCTTCAGTTTCCATTTCTGCCTGTATTGACTCAAGATACTATCTGTGTCACCTTCACTTTATCACTGTCAGTTCGAAACTGTGTCCGAACATCACAGATGGAAGCCTCTGCCTTTTGATATGTTATGTTCCCCCACATCTTTTCTGAGCCATGTTTAGCCTTCACGCCAACTCTATCCCACACCTCCTTCATAGGCTCTTTTTATTATTGAAGTTGTTCAGATTGTATCTCACACTTCGTTACATCTTGCTATTTCAGAAATTATTTCACAGTTGCATTTTTCTTTTGTGATAAGGGAGATTCACCTTATTCAGGGATTTTTTGTCTCCTTTTGTCTTTGTTATCATAATTAGTCATATGCTAAAATGTGCACATTACTTTTGACATATCAGTTAGATACATCCCTCAAAGAGGTCATGAGGTTTATTGTATGTATTATTTGTTTTGACAGTATTTGAAGTACAGTAGACACTCAGTTAACCAGCACCCAAAGGGATTATAGATGCCGGTTAATGTAGTTTCTGGTTGCTTGAGAGTTACTATTAAAATAGGCATAACTAATACTTTATCCCATTTACAATATCATGCACTCTGTATTGACTTGATATTCATATTGAAATATAGTAATTAAAAGCAAATAAAGACAAAACTTAACTTAATGTACCACAGATTTATTATATTATAAAATTGATTTTATTTTAATGTTTATTTAACATAGTATTTCTTCTATTTTTGCCAGTTGCCTGAGAGTTCTGATTCCTTGCTTTCCGGTTAACTGAGAGTCTGTTGTAATAAGAAAAATCTGTACAAGTCATTTGAGAGTGTAAATCAATATTAAAAAAAAAACCAATTCAGAATATTGAAAAGTGTACATTTTGATTTCATGTTTTGGTTCAGATCTCCACACAACTGACTATACCAAAGAAATTATTTGAATCAAAAATTGTTGCCATAGATATTTTATTCAATATTATTGAATTCACATGAGATTTTCAGTAGAATTTATTATTATAGTTGGTTAACAAAACAACATTATTTTAATAGGCAGAATTTTGTAAATGAGAAATTGGAGTTAAAGGCTCCAAAATAATGTGAATTTACAAATGTTTGTGGAAAATAAACATTTCTTCAGGATCCAAAACGTTTTCAACATTCCACTCATCACTTGTGTCAAAAAAAGAAAAAAGAAAGAAAAAAATACATCAAAACACAGTGGGCCCAGAGTGTGTTGTATCTCTTCCCATTTTTGATTCTCTCATCTTCACATATATGTATACATTTCAGTGTTAGCTTGACAATCGTATGTCCTACCCCTTGTGAATTTCACAATCTGAAAATAGTACAGTAAGACCCCCCCCTCCACCCTTATTCATAAATTCAGCATCCATGATTTCACTTACCTATGTTCCAAAAAAAAAGTCCTTGAAGTGTTCATGGGCCTTGCTAGATCCTCCAGTACAATTCTGTGATATGCTTTCAGTTTGAGTAAAGTAAAATGGAAGGTTTGCTATTACCCATGGTTTTAGGTATCTTTGAGATGATGGCTGGGTGGTGTTCTTCAGACGTAGGATCCTTCAGACGTATTCCCTGTGGATAATAGGGTCGTATCATATAGTTCACATAAAATGTTAAAGGATGCCCTGTAGCCAAGCTCTCTCCCTTTGGTTTGATTCATTTTCTTCCAGACTCATGTCAATAGTGGGCATCTCAGCACAAATCAGCTCCTTCAGTTTTGCAAAACTTGGACAGTCAGTTCTCTTTATTTAAAATCAGCCCCTTTTGTGGACATAGCCTGTGGCAAGCATGTCCTTGCATAAACATATTTGATCTTTAGCTTCAGGTTCTTGAAGAAAAGAACAAGCAGTTGAAAGGTACTGTGGCTGAGTTGGAAAGCGAGCTTGAAGAGTGTAAGACACAAAATCAAGAAAAAGAATTGCAGCTGGTCTGTCAGAAGCAAAAAGAAAAGGAATTGGTAACTGCAGTACAGAGGTATAACAAACTGCTTTTGTTTCTAACTGTTTCTACATATAGTTGTTTTCAATCCAGTTCTGTGTTGATCTAGTTATATTGAGTGGGCTCAAATGCATTCTATTATAACATCAACAGTCATATTGAATTGAGAAGTATTGTCTGTTATAAAGAGATTACTTGATGGCCAAGAGACTTCTGATCTGCTAATATTCCAGGTACCTAACTAGAGTAGGAGACATTGTCAGAAAACTTTGATCTAGTTCTAGAAATGTACGGTATCAGAAATAGTGCTAATGTCTTTTCTGTCACTGCTGTCACCATAAATTTAGTTGTGGGGCAGGGGCAGTAGTTTTGTAACCTTCCAAACTAGTTTTGAAGAAAAGGTTTACTCTTCCCACTTTCTACAGAGAGGTAGAAAAAAAAACTTTTAAGTTGTCTACATTGGAGAGAAAGCCCTAGAAAGCTGGCATTTTTCTTGTCTACTCCATTGGGACATGTTAAAAGAGGTTCCTCTCTTTAGCTGCTGGTAAACAAGTAAAAATTGTATGCATTGCTGCTTAACAAGGCTAACAAGGCTCCTTCTTTGGAGAGTTTTAAACAGAGACTGGTTGACCATCTGTCGGGGGTGCTTTGAATGCAGTTTTCCTGCTTCTTGGCAGGGGGTTTGAGTGGATGGCCCACAAGGTCTCTTTCAACTCAATGATTCTATGATTCTAGCACATTCCTTACTGTTTCCAACTGACATGGATATCTCAGGAAATATTTGCAAGGAAGCCAAGTGAACCATCCATACAGTCTTTCAAAGTTTTTCCTTCCATTCTACCTGAGGAATGTGTAGTCTCTACAGATGATAAAATCTGGATATTTAATGTGATAATATAAGTGTTCTTCTTTCTCAGGATAATAACTTCCAGAAAAGTAGCTGTGTTAATTTGTTGCACTCAAAACAATTGGAACTTTGAGACCTTTAACAACTAGGAGATTTGCTATGACATAAACTTCCCCAGATACACTCATAAAGTTAGTTTGGGAATGTCCTCTAGTCCTCTCGTAATTCAGCTGCCAAACGCAAGACTAAAGGAGCAAACATTCTTGTTCGGGTTGATTAGTAGAAGCATCCCAATCTGGTGACTAGACTTTATATTGGATTTTGGGATAAAGCTTCTGTTTACCTGTTAACTCACAGAGTACTTTCAGCACTCCAGTATATCTGGTGTCCTGGGTTATGAGGAAGGAAAAAATAAGGTTTGTAAAAATGTTTTGCAGAGAAAATCTATTTAATGGTTGTTGAAAAACTGCAATTCATGTGTTTTACTTATTTTACATAAGAAATTGCAGAGGAATATAAAGTGTGACATTTCTGTGGCACAGTATCAGATGGATAGTAAAAAAAGACAGTGTCACTGCAGTACAAAGTAAACTAAGAGGAACCCCTTCATTTAGAAAAAGGGTATTTGTAATATGTTTTAAAGGAAATGAGGGAAACACTTCATTGGAATTATGCAATAACAACAACTGTAACAAACTTGTTTCTTAATGGTCTAAACTCTGTGGCACGTCAGTTCATGACCTCCCTTGCTGAACGACCTGTGCCACAGACACTTTGTTCAGATGATGAAAGGTTAGGTATTTGGGACAGTTAGCCAAATCACTGACTGCATTGTTTCCATCTTACATCTGGTACCCCTTGTATGTGTGAGTGCATAATCCATCAGGTTGATGGATTATTTTCTGAAAGTTTACAAATATTTGACACAGAGCCTTGTTTCTAAATATAAACAACAATTGTCATTGTCATCATTTGTGTTTTTAGTTTTGAAAGATGATTGAGATACTGTGAAGGAGAAGTGTGATTCCTCCCTGCTCTGGGACCTTTGCATGTCATTGTGGGGATAGAATAGATGAAGCCTATTTGTGCATGAAGTTGAAAATATTTTCTGAGAATGAATTAGGCCAGTGTTTATGTTAAGCAGACATAAATTTGACTAGGCAGACTGTAAGCTGTAATCATTCAGTAGCCCACACATGACTGCTGAGAACTTGAGCTCCATTTAATTTATGCATTAATAGTTTACATTTTCTTTTGCATTGCCATGGTTTCAGAGAGATTCACAGTTGAAAACACTGGATATAGCAGCCCATAAATCAGCTTTTGCTAGTCATCTTAGCTAGGATGATTGTTTTTCCCAGCGTTTAGGTAGTTTTGGCAGTAGTTGCAGAAATATTAGACATTTACAGATAACCAAAAGTTCTCAAATTTCTAAATTTTAAATAATCTGTTCTCCCGCTTTCAACCATACTGAAACCTAAAGAGGAAAGTTATGATTCTCACACATTTACATCATCTAAATATAACAAATTGCCACTAATTGTTTTTAGGAGACATATTTCTCAGAGTTTTGCAAAGGCAGTTCTCATGCAACCTCTGAAGATCTCAAAACCAGATTGCAGTTATTGTGCCTTTAAGTCATTGCTATCGAATGGTGTCCCTATCACAGTTTAGATTACCATTTTGTTGATTTCTCTTATTTTTTGTTTTTCTACGTAGTTTTTTAGGAAATAAGGCAGTACTATACTTGTTTTCGCTTTCAGAGCTTAGAACGAAGAACTTATAAAACAAGATACATCCTGTTCCTATTAAATCACTATGGCCCATTCCACCATGTCCAAAGAGTTTATAATCTCAAATTTCTATAATTTGAAATACTCCTAAAGCCACAAATGTTTTGCTACATATGTGTTTCAAGTGATCAAAGAATTAAAAAGATTCCATTTTGTGTCATCTTGAGCCAAAATTGGCCTTTGTAGACAAATCTGCCTTTCCTCACCATTGAGTAAGCAGAGCAAGAGTGCCCTGTCAGTCATCGGTCGTTTGTTAGTCCACCGAATATTTAGTAGTGCATCACACTCACTACAAAGAATCAAAAGGAGATAAAGAGGTGTGATAGACTGTAACAATTATACTTGAAAAGGAAAAACACAACTGCTATTGGTGTTCAGAATATTATTCGGAAAAGAGCAGCAAACCCCATTTGCAAAAGATCCATGTTGGCAAAACAGAATTGAAAGCTTCAGGTAGGAAATTACTTGAAACTATGAGTTGCTCAGGGCTTGCAGTGAACTTCCCTCTTTGAGAAAGGGCTCTAGACATTGGAAACACTGCTGCAAATCAGTTTAAGATTATTTCTGCTAGTACTTGGCAACTAGTTTGCACGCCTGATTGAAACATGTAGATATTATACTAGAAACCAAGCAACCTAGATATCTAGAGACTGAAAGTAAAGGGATAGAGGTTTTGAGGGCTCCCTGGAGTATTACACGATGACAAATTTTGCTTCAGTAGCTTATATATTAAAGTTTGAACAAAGAACATTAGCCTTGTCCCTCTGCAAGGATGACAGATTTGTCACCGAGAGGATCAGTACTTAAAATGAACCTGTCAAGTGTGTAAAAACACTGACCTAATTCATACATAACACACAACATTTTAGTGTTATATGAAGTCACTTATGCACAAAGCATTCAATCCTGGCTTAGCATTATGTTTGAACCAGGCCACGATGTTACTATGAATTATCTACAAAGCTTTTTCAGAGATGTGCAAATGGGAAGCTAGACAAATTGCTTTTGCAAAATGTATGTATTTTGTCTATTAAATCTTGTCAAAAATTATTTTCTGGACACTAAATACTGGATTGCATTTCTCTTTGGAGCAGTTGAGCAATTTTTGATTTGCTTCTTTATTTTCTTTGCCTACTGTAATCCAAACTACAGCCTGCAGCAGAAAGTAGAAAAATGCCTGGAAGATGGTGTCCGCCTTCCTATTCTAGACACAAAACAGCTTCAGAGTGAAAATGAAAGCCTCAAAGAGAAAAATGACAAAGCTAGCAAGGTCAGTGCATTAAATTGGTTAGTTGACCCTTTCATGTGTCAAACATTATATCAACTCTATGCCGTTTTGCTATTCTTATTGTGCCAGTCTGCCTTTTTCCCTCCCCCAGCTGTATTGCCAGCAGTAGGAAGTAATGCTACTGCTGGGTGAGGGACACTGCCAGAATTAGGTGGGACGTAATGGGCATCTTGTCCATGCAGACATTTACTTACTGACTGGTTATATTCCCATAATGAGGGCTGCTGGCAAGTAAGCATCCATGCATTTACTCTCCTGCCAGTTTGCAACCACTTTTCAGCATTACTTCCTAACCATTTCTGGGCATGGTTTTATCTCTCTTCATTTTCCATTACCACACAGCAAAACTAGCAGTTCTTGCAAGCAGTAATTCCTACTAACATCAGTGTCTTGCTAGTTCTAGTTGTGATCCCACATACCCCTTTTTAGAGCTGCATCTCCCTTTCATTTTCAAATCCACAATAAAATGCTTTCCTTCAATTAAATGGTGGCAGAGGCAGTAATGATATGAACAAAAATGATTTATCTTCTTTTCCCAACAGGTCATAGACAATCAACAGAACCAGATTGCTCAGATGACTTTAGAGATCCAGGTAATGATACTGGGTTTCACAGTTTTCAGCTCTTTTAAATTGGTGATACTGTGTTCTTCATCATTGTTTTTAGTTGGGGCATGCAATTCGTCAAAAACTCCTCCTGTTTTCTGTCCCGTTTTCTGTCCCATTTTCCCATTTACTGGGAAATTCTCAAAATCAGGAGGGGGGAAATACCATTTTGCAATTCATCAGCCGGAAGTTCTGTTTTCACTCCGGGAAGATCCAGTCCATTGGTGACAATGGGGGAACTGGAAAGGCTCCTCTTTTTAAGGCTATTGGGACAAAAATGGCCACACTTGTAGGACACATTTGTGATTGCAAGGCCCCCAAGTATCAGAATGTTTGGAGCATACACTGATATTTAGGATTTTTTTTTAAGTTTCTACAAATAAAGGGGGAAGGCTTTTGGACTGGTGCAGGAGTACACACATACAAGCCAGAAGGTAAGGCTGGGGAGTAAATGGCAGAGACAGAGAGTCAAAGAGGGAAACTAGAAGAAGAAAGGGCTTTTTATTTTTTAGTGGGAGAAATTTATATTCCTAACTTATATTCTGGATAATGAGTTTCATTTTAGAGTACATGAAGTTATCTGGTAACCACACACATGAGCACTTTGCTGCTATAGTTGTTAACAGAAGGCAGGTTAAAAAATAGCAATAACAAAACAATTAATTTTATTTCTTACCTGCCTCTCCTGGAGGCAGGGTACAACATATTTAAAATGCATAGGTAAAAACATAAGACAATTAAAATTAAAATTAACATATATTAAAATACATAGATCTAAGATTAAAATACATTAAAATCATTCATATTAATAAAATGTAAATTTTAATTCATAGTTTAAAATTGACTGGGTAGGCCTGATGGAAAAGATAGCTCTTTAATTGTGTTTTAAATTCTGACAGCTCATCTAGCTATTGAATCTTTTCCAGCTGGTCATTCCACAGTCTAGGGCAGCCAATGAAATGGTCCTCTGGGTGACGGTTGCCAATCAGGTTCTGACTGGTTGGACTAAACATCCCCCAGATGACCAAAGTGTCCAGGGCAAATCGTATGGGGGAAAGTGATCCTGCAGGAAACCTGGGCCCAAATCATGTAGGGCTTCAAACCAACACTGTGTACTTTGCTCTGAAATTAATTGGCAACCAGTGGAGTGATTTTAGGGTAGGTGTGATATGCTCACTCATAGATGCATACATACCTAGTCTGACTGCCATATTTTGAACTAACTGGAATTTCGGAACTTATTTATTTTTATTTATTTACTATATTTCTCTACCGCCATTCTCAGCCCGAGGGCGACTCAGGGCGGTTTACAAAACGGCACGACTCAATGACCACAATAATATAAAAACAGTTGAAAACATATAGCATATATAAAATTCAGCTTGGTACAGAGGTAGCCCAATGTGCAGTGCATTGCAGAAGTCCAACCTTGCATGCACAACCATCTTTAGGTCTTCCAGTTCTTGAAAGGGTCAAAGCTGACATACCAACTGTAGGAATAAGCACACCTGACTGTTGCATTTATCTGAACTGACATTTGGAGAGAGGAATTGAGCACTTCCAGTCTTTTATGAGAGATGTAACCTCATCCAGAACTGATTGACATACCTCCAGTCTCAAGTTAGGACCCTTAATAATATGCACACCCATCTTGTCTTGGTTCAGTTTCAGTTTTTTTCTTCACCCAGCCCATTACCTCCTCCAGGCAGTCATTTAGAGGGGCCACACTATCCTTGACCAAGGCTGCCTTTGAAGGTATTGAAAAACATATCTGGGTGTCTTCAGCATACTGATTACACTCCACCCCATGACTTTCCCAGTAGATTCATGTAGATGCTAAAAAGAATTGGGGATAGAATAGCACCTTGTGGGATGCCACATAACCAGCTCCTTCTTTGAGGAATAACTATCCCCAAACACCATCATCAGTAACTTGACTGAGACGTGCAACCAAAATAACTACAGTACAGTGTTTCCACCCACCCCCCGGTCAGTTTTAAAATGAAGATCAGATCCATCAATTCCGTACCATGCTCAAGCTAGTTTGAAGTGGGTCACAATTAGGCTTCTTTAGTAGTGGCCTAGTGTGTTGAATCCTCTTTCCAGGCTGGCCATACAATTCTAATCCTCCCTTAATCCCATCTCTGAATGGGCACTTGGTCTTCAGGTCACCTTCTATGTGGATCTATGGATGTGTTGATTTGGTGAACACATTTTGGTAGGTGGGACCTATCATCCTTGATAAAGTCAACCACTCCCCACTCTCCTAGTAAAAGTTCAATTAAAAATGATAGAGTCAACCAGAGACAGTTGTAAAACAAGCAAATGAAATCAGACTAAAATGCAGAAATTGTTGTGTTAATTCCTGAACCTATCTCTGAAATCAACCTTATCTCTGTGTCAGCTTTTCCCTAGCTGACCTCTGTCAGAGACAAGCCTCTGTTTCATAATACTTCTCGCCAACACTCCTCATCTTGAGCTGTGATTGGGCTGCCGAAATCCACACCTTTTAAGACATTGCTTTCCATTGAACTAGGGAGTTAATGCTCAAATTTTCTCCTAAGACAGGGGTTTTTTTCTCAGACCAGTTGTATTCTGAGTAAAGCAGAGCTGGATTTATTTGAGAGACGAAAAATGGACATCAGGCTTTATTTGAATGAATTTACTTTATATAAATGAATCTCAGATAGAGTGTTAGATTGAAAAATGTTCTTTCCAGTGAAAACCTTTACAAGCATAGAATGAGTTGCCTGTTTTTGTCTTCTGCAATTTAACTTTTACTAATGACCAATGCAGGGTACTTTGAACATTTACATTTATTTATTCCAAAAGGGAAAACCCTGTAGAGAATGTAAACATTGTACATTCCTATATTCCAAGGAAGTAAATCATGAAGAGAATGTAAACATGGATATATGTAAAATTATCCTGAGTTAAATAACTCCACATACTGAGCAGAAGAATAAATAAGCATTCATGCGGTATCCCTCAATAATTTATACACATGCATTCAAAATAGAAATGATATGTAGGCATTACTTCATTGACTTAAATTAATGTTTTTTTGTATCTGTCTATAGTGGAAAAACATGGCTCAGCTGTCTAGTGAACAGATTCCTTTAAAATGCTGACTAGCAGATTGAGTAAATTACTTCCTTGAAAGCAAGTAAAACCAGATAGACACTTTTGATAAGTTTGAAAAGAATGATCTTGGTTTAATGCTGTATTTCTTCAATTCTAAGGCACACTTTTTTTCCCTATATAAACATTTTTTTAAATGGGGTACATCTGAGAATCACATGTGTATCTTATGTATTTTTGTTATTAATGGTCCTGAAATTGAAATGTGTCTTAGAATTCATGGCATCTTACAATTCAAGGAATAATAAACTGTAATTTATTCAATTATAAAACATTTAGATGAAGGGGAGCTGGTGCTGTAGTTGTCATTTGATTAAATTGTGGTTCCTTCTTTCATCTGAAACTGGCAACTATGGATTAATATACAGGGTTAGTCAAAATGAATAGGCCAATAAGAAAATTAATTTTAGACGAATGTATGTTTACTGTAACCAAACTACAGCTACGTAGCGACAGATAAACTATCAAAGTTTTTTTTGAGCAACACATGTACGTTAATGCCGCTAGGGGTCGCTGTTTTCAAAATGGCGGAATCAAGCAAAGAGAAGGCATTTTGTGTGATGACATTTGCTAAAACAATGTCAGTAATTACGGTCCAGCGAGAATTTCAAGGGTTAGGGTTAGGGTTAGGGTTAGGGTTAGGGTTAGGGTTAGGGTTAGGGTTAGGGTTAGGGTTAGGGTTAGGGTTGGGTTAGGGTTAGGGTTAGGACCTCAACGAACACCTTCCCAGACGTTGCTGCATTCGATGCCATTACGTCGGATGTGCTGCAACGGATGTGGAATGAACTGGACTATCGCTTGGACATCTGCCGTGTCACACGGGGCGCCCATATCGAACATCTCTGAAGGTGAGACAAAACTTTGATAGTTTATCTGTCGCTACGTAGCTGTAGTTTGGTTACAATAAACATACATTCGTCTAAAATTAATTTTCTTATTGGCCTATTCATTTTGACTAACCCTGTATTACTAACATAGTTCCTTCCAGATTTCATAACTTGTTCAATTATAATTCTCAGTTACATATCATGGGAAACTACAGTTTAAAAGAACTGTGATTGAAATTCTAAATTCCACAAACAAGAAGGGAGCATGTGAGCCTGATTCCATTCCTGGGTCCAGGATAGGGTCTGTGAAGGATAAGGATGGGAAAAGAGGCTAAACATTAATAAGAGTGGAAGGGAGAAAGCAAAATATAAGGCGCGTTGGAAAAGAGCCATAGGATTGAACCCAGGAACAGCAGAGGAAATGGGTGGTCAAAGGCAAACAAACAAGATCAGAAACTTGAGATTAACAGCAAAAGATATACTCTGGGCAGAACTTAGCAGGAGGTAAGGAAGGACGTACACAGTAAAGGGAAGCAAGCATCTAAGGGGAAGAGATAAAGCTTTGTTCTAGGAACAAATCTGTTCCAATTTCTGCCTCCTGTTTCCTTTATCTTCAAGGGCTGTTGTGAAAACTGGGTTGTGGAGGTCAAGGGATTCACATTAGTCCTAGCTATGCCTTCTTGTGCTTCAGCATGCACAGATAGGGGTTGAACCTTAACAGCTGTTGACTGAGTCATTGGCATTCCAGAGCAATTGCGGTTCTGATGCCAGAGGAAGAAGAGTAGTACATTCATTGGCTTAAAGAGAGTCATATTTCCACTTTGGCAGAAAAAATGAAATGCAAAGATACAGAATGGGTGACGCCTGGCTCGAGAGCAGTACGTGTGAAAAAGATCTTGGAGTCCTCGTGGACAACAAGTTAAACATGAGCCAACAATGTGATGTGGCGGCAAAAAAAAGCCAATGGGATTTTGGCCTGCATCAGTAGGAGCATAGTGTCTAGATCTAGGGAAGTAATGC